ACGCGCGTAGGTGGGGATAGGGAGGGGCTGCAGTCATGTGATCTGCCAGTGAGGAAGGCTTCCAGCTCTGTGGCAGCATCTGCCCCTCCCCCAGGCACTTGGACATGTGGTGCACTGTGCCAAAAGTGGCTACTTTTCCTGTGCTGGCCTTTTTCTTTGCCAAACTGAGTGACACCCCTGAGGGTCCACGGGGACCTGGCAAAGTGAGAAGGGCATAAGAAGGAGCAACCCCACCTAGCTGAGAGCCCAACACCTGCACCCTGTTGCAGGCAAGCCACCTCCCTCTCTGGAAACCCAGCTAGCTTTACCTTTCAAGCCCTGCTGGGGTGCAGCCAGGAGCCTGCACCCACAGAGGCCTGGCCCTAAGATGAAAACCCAGGTCGATGCAGCACATGGCTTGGGGCTGGCAAGTGACCTGGAGCAGCCAGCAGAAGCCTTAGCCAGGTTTGCCCCCAGCCCCCATTCCAGCATCTCCTCTGCATTTCTCCTCTTCCCACTTGCTCTGAATACGGGGGCTGTCAGTGCTGTTTGCCGCCAGGCAGCCCTCAGTGGGTTTGCAGGTCCTTCCATCCTGGGCCAAGACTCTAATATTTAAGCACTTCAAGGCCTGGGGGAAATGTTGCTTTGTGGGTGCTTGTCCTAGCCAGGTGGCTCTAAAGCAAGTCTGGGCCACAGAATCAGACAGGAGGAGTTCAGATCCATGCGTGACCTGGCCAGTCCCTGAACCCTGAGCCCATGTTTGTGTTTCTAATACAAGGAGGTGTGGGAATTATCCGGGTGAAGTTCTTTGAAATCAGCCAGCCCTCCTCCTTCCCCAGGGGGCAGAGTACCTAGTTTCTGCCCTACTAATACCTGAATGAGATTTGTAGGGCACCCCTCTCCAGCATGCAAAGCTCCTTCTCACATGTGACCCCTCTTCTCTCTAGACTGCCCTGTGAAGTGTGATGGAACAGCTTCTTCTGAAAACAGAAAACACGAGAGGCCAGGCGGACCTCGCCACGGTCGCAGGACTGGAATGCTGGGCCAAGCTGCCCCGGACCTTGGGGATCCTCACAGCGAAGGAGCTGCCTGTGCTCCCCACAGAAGTCACAGGAGCTGCTGTCCTGTGGCCACAGTCTCCAGAGTGCAACATGGAGGAGGACCTGAACAGAGGGCAGCTCCCATTCCTGCCCCTCTGGACTTGGCAGGGCATCTGGGGACACTTGCCCCTCCCCACCATGCAGAGGCTGTGGCCTTGGCCTGCTGCCTGAGCAGTCTGGGCCTCTGCATCTCTGGCCCCAATGAATGACACCAGGTGTGGTGCTGGGACTCAGGGGCTATGGACGCTCTGGCCAGACTGCCAGCAAATGGCAGCTCTGCCCACCACATTGGCAGCACCGATGCCCCACCACAGGCAGCACCCTGGAGTCTGCTAAGGCAAGGGTTCCAGCCTTCTAGGAGTTAAGGATGCCCTTCCCCATCCATCCTCCCCTTGGTGCTCCTCTTCCTCCCTCCTCCCACTGCTCACAGCAGGCAGGGCCCGGACCCCAGAGCCACTCTGCTGCGCTGTTGCCAGGGGAGCTGAGAGACAGATCTGAGCTATGCAGGGAAAAGGCCGGCCTGTCAGAGTGTCTGAGATGAACCACCGCCGTCCCAGTACAGCTGGGCTCAGACGCGTCTGGGCTCTTGTTCTGTGCCTGAGAAGGGCGAAGCCCAGTGAGGTTCAAGGGCAAACTTGCTATTCATTAGTCAGGGGTCCTTGAAGTCCAATCTCCCCGGAGGATGGGTCCCCTCTCCTTTTCTCTCCCTCCTGTGACACATTCCTGGTTGTCTCCTCCTCCTTCTGCCCAAGCCCCTCTCCCCAGGCCCCTGAATAAACTTCCCCCAAGGAGACCAAGAAGGGCAGAGACAATGGCAGTGGGAAACCAGGCAGGGGCCCAGCCTGTTCTCTACTCCCAGCACCCCTGAGCGCCCCTCTCCGCTTGGACTTCCATACACCAGCGCCACCAGCCCGCTGGGCACTGCCTGGACTCCAGGCCAGTCTGATGTCATCCTTGGTCAGCTCTAGGGCCACGCCTCTGTGGCCTGTATTTGACCATCCCAGGTCTGTTTCAGGACACTCTGACCCTGCTAGTTGAAGAGAGCACATTGTGCAATGTTTTCAAAAACACCTCATTGTCAAAATGCAAAGAGACCACTAGGATATCCCTCCACAGTGGTATTTGTAACGCTTCCCAAAGAAGCATGCATAAGGATATTCATTGACTAGAGCTGTTTTTCCACCATGTTGGAATTGGACTGCTGGCCCATTCATCCTGTGGAATGCTGTGTACCTGGGAAAAGTGATGTGGTCGCTCTGAGCCAGCCAGTAAGGAAGGTGGGCAGGTTACACAGAGAGATGAGTCAAATAAACAGGCAAAGTCTGATCGTTGTGTGTCTTTAAAAGGCCTAAGCATGCTTGTATGTAGAGAACTCTAGAAAGATGGGCTTGAAAGCTACTTCTGAACATTGGGGATGGCAGGGCCACACTCTTCTGTATTGTTCCACTTCCTTACCAGGCTTACAAAACAGTTCTATTTAAACATTTAACTTCAAAAACAATTGCCATCAAGTTACTTCCAACTAGGAGATCCATAAACCCAAAACAAAACAAAAACTCGCTGCCATGAAGTAGATTCTGACTCACAGTGAGCCCTATTAGGACAGAGTAGAACTGCCCCTTTGGGTTTCTGAGACTTTAAGTCCCTACAGAAGCAGAAAGCCTCATCTTTCTCCGAGTGACTCACTAGACTCTTGATCTGGCCCACCGGGTGTTTTTGCCCCATTTGTGTTTTCACTTCAAAATAAGATCTGTGCAGTGTGCATAGGAATTTGTTCATAGTTTTTTTAAAAAAACTATATTCCATCCCTCCAACGGGTCTGGCCCCATGTTTAAAAAGTGTGAGGACCCCTGCAGTCTAGATTCTAGTGACTAGAGGCTGCTTAGTAGAATCGGCTTTTAACTGCTGTCACCTTGAGGTGGGAGCTCCAAGGGATGGTCTAGAAGGCACCGTTGGAAAAGCAGCCCCGAGCCTCTGAAGACCTCTGCTTCTGACCAGGTCTCAATCAACTGCCCTTGAGTTGACTCAAAGTGACTGTGGAGAACAGAGTAGAACTGTCCCTGTGGGTTTCTGGGGCTGTAATTCTGCCAGAGGAGAGAACTTCAGCTCTCAATCTCCTGTGCAGCAGCTGATAGTTTTGAACTACTGGCCTTGTGGTTAGCAACCCAACTTGTAAGCCCTCATGCCACCGGGCTTCCTCTGGGGGGTGCCAGTGACCATGCCATCATTAAAAGCCCATTAAGGGCCAGGCTGAGTTTCTGCAGATGTTGCTGAGGTAGGGGGTGTCATTTCAATTGCACCAACGTGGAAGAAAAGACCACTGGTTTGCTCATGTACCCCTAGGTGAGGGGTAGGTAGAGCCAGGTGACTGAGGGAGGGTTGGAAAGCTCCTGTTTGTCTGGCGGTAAACGTTGCCCCTTTGCTTTCAGGAGCTGTTTTGGGAAGAGACCCCTAGGAAGCCCCAGCCAGCCACCCTAGGGTAGAGATGCCCCAGCCCAAAAGAAGTGCCCCCCGTGCTGGAGGTGGGCCTAGCTTGGGTGGGGGGGGGGGAGTGGGGAGTGGATCAGGCTGTGAAGGTCCATCAATCTCCTAGATGGAGACATTGAGGTGATAGGAGTGGGGGATAGAGCAGCACCCACGCTGGGCCTTTGTCTCCTTAGGACTGCTTTTCTTCTGCGGTTGCCCAGAGGCAGTTCTGAGTCTCGGATGAGGTTGCTGGAGGTGGTAGCTGGGAGACAGCTCAGAGGGTGGCCTTGGAAGAGATGCTGGGTCTCAGAGAAGGTTCTTGAGTCTCCACTTGGTGGGACATGGGGGTGGGAGGGGTCTGAAGGGTTTGCTAGAGCTACAGTCACCCTTCTTTCCTCTTTGCCTGCCGGTGATCTGCTGGTCACCACTGCTGCAGACTTTGCTGCTGCTTTGGGGATCTGGCATGAAGAGACCAGGTAGAGATATGAGCCCTGGACCTGCCCTGGTCCTTTGCAGAGGGTGTCCTGGGAGGGACTCTGGACAGGCTGAGGCAGAGATGGGAGCAGAGAGATGGCACCTGACTCATGGGCCAGCAGTTCTCCGAAAGAAGGTTAGTGGGGTCTTCCTGGATCAAAGTCCTGAGGTAAGGATCTGGGAGAGGGGCCTCATCCTCCAGACCCTCAACTTGAATGAAGCTTCTTTTCCACATTTTTCTTGTCTGGGGGGAAATGGGTGTGGAAAGTGAGGGTCGGTCTTTAGCAAAGAGAATCCCTGGTCTGAATGGAGAGCATGGAGCAAAAAGCCTCCCAAAGCCTCGGATGGCCTGTCCTGTGACCTGGGCTAGGGCCTGCAGCTCTGGGTAAGAGGACAGAGGGCACTGGCCAGCTCCAATCCTGGAGGGGAGCAGTCACAGGTACCCTGCCCTCCAGCAAAGTGGCTCTGGAGCTGCCAGGCTGAGGGGCAATCAATCCCCCAAGCTGCTCCTGGGCCTTCATTTTATGTCTACTCATTGCGTTCTCATTAACGACCTCACAAGACAACCCCATTCTACAGATGAGGAAACCGAGGCTCCAAAGCTACACGCAGCAGTGGAGTTTGGCTCTAGGTCTTGTTTCTTTGGCTGGAAAGCTGCTCCCTCTGTTACCCGAGGGACTCATAACCCGGACGTCTTAATAGGATCCAGGGGGTGGTGAGGGTCCTGAGAGCTCCAAGGAGCCCAGGTGGTGTGGTGGAGTAGGAGGTGGGCTCCTAATGGCAAGATCAGCAGTTTGAAACCACCAGCTCTTCTGCCTGGGAAAGATGGGGTGGGCTTTCTACTCCTGTAAGGATTTGTAGTCTTTGAACGATTGAACCATTGAAGTGTATGCTGTGTGAATTATGTGCCAATAAAACTGTTAAAAATATATTTATAATCTTAGAAAGCCAGAGGGGCAGTTTTACCCTGTCCTATAGGGTCCCTGAGAGTCAGAATTTCTGGTTGGCAGTGAGGTATTTTATTGTAAGTTTTGAGGGTTGTTTTTACCCCAGGTATGCACATTCATCAAAGGGCTCGGACAATAATCAACATTTTGTGCGTGTGTTCCACGCTCACTCCTCTAGGTGCTTTTTCATGTTCTGAGCCATGTAATCCTCAGACACGTCTATGGGCACTGTCTTTGTTCCTATGCAACCAATGGAGAGAAAGGCCCAGTGAGCCAGCCATAGTGACAGTGGTGGGGGCATGGCGTCTGGGACGCCACACAGGCCCTCGGAGTCAGATAGCAAGCAGGGACCCACTGCGCACACTGTTCTGTCAGGACCTTGGCCCCGCACGGCAGTGCAGACCACGTCGGACCATAGCCGCTGGGTGCCCAGCTGCCCCCTCTCCCTCCCCCGCCAGGCCTCGCTTCTTGGGGCGGCAGGCTCTGGTCCCATGGCCCGGAGAGGAGCAGAGCGGACCTGGGCAGGAGGGAGAAAACTGGGGGGCGTCCGGCACAAAGAGCTTTTTATTCAAATTTGTTTAGAGTTTCGCGGATTTGCATGAAAAATGTGTGAGAAAAGCCAGCTCCGGTGACCTCATCCGCACCTGCCATTAACGTTCAATTAGCGGTTGAATAGCGGCCGCCGGACGCGACGTGCCGAGAATCCCGCCGGCCCAGCAGCCGGGGCTGCGGGCTGCGGGGCTGCGGGGCTGCGGCGGGCCGGGCTAGGGTGAGGGTGGGCTGGAGGAAGGGCGCCTGGCCTACACCTGGCGCTGGGTACCGAGGCCTGGTCTGCACCCCAATCTTCCCCTCCGCGGGGACCCCAGGACCCTGGATCCCCAGGGCCCGCCCGCGTCTGGGGGCACATGGGGACGCTGGGCCCTCTCGGGGTGCAGAAGAGGGCTAACTTGCACCCCCACCCCCACCCCCCACCCCCCAGAGGCACACATACCCTAGGGCGGGAGGTGGACAGAAGAGCCCTGTCTCAGCTCAGACGGGTTCCCTCGCCACCTTCCGGACAAAGTGTCAAGTACAAGTTCAAGTTCAGGGCCAGGCCGCCCCCCTCCCTCCGGGGGAGGGGGCGGGGGGCTCTGCGCCTTCCCTGGCCCTCTTTGTTCTCCGGGATAATGGCTCCCACGTCCCCTCTCCAGCGGGGCTGGGCAAACGCCCCCACCCCTCCCCACTGTGCCCCGCAGAAGATGCCTCCTTCCGCCGGCTGGGCTCCAGTCCCTGGTCCCGGAGCCCCTGCGGGGCCACAAAAGGGCCTGGGGGCTTGGGGAGGGGGAGGTGCCCTCCGAACCCGTGGGCGCCTCCTGGGCGCCGCAGTCCCCGCGGCAAACCGTGCTGGGTTGGACGGACGCCGGCGCTCAGGTAAGAGCCCTGGGCCGGGTTGGTCCCGCACCCGCTTTGCCCATGCACTCACCCTCGCCTCCAGGACAGGACGCAGGCGAACCGGCCAGGGCGATGCGCCCTAAAAGGACTTCGAGGGTGCCTCGTCACGCCGAGCCTCTGGGGGCGCGCTGCCAGACGGGGCCGCAGGGTGCCGCGTCGGGGAGGGGAGCAGGCACATTGGGTAAGGGTACCCTGTGGCCCCCCAAGGTCGCCCGCCTTTCTCAGGGCGGCTTCCCGCTCTTGTGGTTGATCTGGTGATCTCCACTTGCCCCATCCTGGCCTCAGACGGACTGGAAGGACCCCAGTTCGAACCTAGTTCCTGGAGCCTGGAGATCCTCCTGGAATCCTAGAGGAGGGGTGGGTGGGTGGGTGTGTCATAGAGAGGCGCTCAACTCTTACAGGAATCAGCTGAAGCCAGTTCTCTATGGGCCCTAAATTCAAGTCCTGGCCAAATCTTGGTGACTGGCATCAGCAGAGTGGGGGTGTGACTTAGTGGTAGTGCAGGGGCCATAAGGGTTCCCTATTTCTTCTTGTTGGCTTGTGAAATCCCTGAATTCTCTGCGGGGAGGGGGGGGGAGGGGGGAGTGGACAGGTGTTACCTTGTACTTCATCCAACCAGGACACACCATTAAGCCTCAGGGACCCTGAGGGTTTCCAGAGGGGCCCAAACCCTGTCCCTTTTTTCCATCTTTCACCTCCGGGTGCTCACTCCAGCTCTGAGCTTTTTCTTTTTCCTTCTTCTCTTGATTTACACACAATTCTAACCCCCCCTAGAGCTGGTGTCTAAACCCACAGCCCTTTAGCAGGACCAAATGACTGACTCCTCCTCAGGAGAAGGGCTCTCCTCGGGTTTTCCCTCTGCCTTGTCTTCTGTAGCATCCACACACAGCTCAGCTTTGAGGGGTGCTGAAGTTCTGGACTCCCCAAGTACACTCCCGCCCAGGTCCACTTACTTCACCCAAGGTCACTTCCTCCTGGGAGCCTGCCCAGATTTCTCTCACACCTTCC